TCGTTAGATTATATTTAAACGTGGCAAAGTTGAAACACACAATTTGTCTAAACTTCCCCGACGGCGCGTCGGGGTCGTGTAGTGACGCACATCGCTAGAAGGTTTCTAAAGTAATTAAATATATTATGAGAACCAAAATCGCCATATTGCTAGTATCGTTGAGCATTTTTCTACTGTAAGGGTATCTGCTGGACCGTGTCTGTGGTCTAGTAGTCATGGGCTCGATTCCCGGCGCTACTAGATTTTCCGAGAACTCCACTCAGCCTTTTGAGGATAATTGAGGAGCTATTTTAAAGAAATAGTGCCTCCGGTCTAGAAAACCGAGATTAACGGCCGTGGGGATTCGTTGCGCTANCTCCACTCAGCCTTTTGAGGATAATTGAGGAGCTATTTTAAAGAAATAGTGCCTCCGGTCTAGAAAACCGAGATTAACGGCCGTGGGGATTCGTTGCGCTAACCATGCGACACCCTCTATCCGCTGAAGTTGGCACTAACTTCGCCGACAGGCGGCGGTCGCTCGGGGATACCTGTTACATTATTATGAAGCCTGAGTAAATCAACTGACCTGAGTACTTTAGAAGCCAACAGTTGCTCAGCCGCTCAAAAAATTCCCTGTATTTGATAGAAACCCAAGGTTAATTTCCATCTCAACAAGAGCACAACACTGGTCCCTGCCCTGAGTCAGACGAGTAGAGTCTATCACATTTCCTTACGTTCAATTTCAATATTTCCAGCCTCTAGGTCTTCCTATAGGTCTCTTTCCTTTAACTTCGTATTTAATTAGCTTTTCTCCCATGCGTGCTACATATCCGGCCCATTATTATGAATCGAATCTTACAAATACAGCAAAATGGGGCACAGGGTAGCGTACTTCGTTGAGGCACTATGCTACAAGTCGGAAGGTCGTGGGTTCGAGTTTCCATGAGGTTGATTTTTCAATTGACCTAATCCTTCCAGCCGCACTATGTTCCAGGGGTCGACGTCGCTGGCTTCCCATCGCGGCAGCCGGGTTCGATCTCGAGTCTGGTCAAGTGGGATTTGTGGTGGACAAAGTGGCGCTGGGGCATGTTTTCTCCGAGTACTTTGGTTTCCCCTGCCAATCTTCATTCCACCAATTGCTCCACAAACACCCTCACCTATCATCTGGGGCTGGTACAATAGGCCAGAAGTGGCTGCAGTACAAGGGACTTAGTCCCACCCCACTAGCAATAAAAAAAATAGCCTTTAACAAAAATGAGTACCAGGAATCTTTCTGGGGGTAAAGGGCGGCTGGTGCGTAAGGCTGATCTCACCGCCATCTGTGAGTCGATTGTCTAGAATATGTGGGAGCCTCGACGTCTCACAACCGTATTGGCCTCCACGGCCTGTTACAGGGATAGCTTTACCTTTAATTAGAGCCAAATGATTAATTTTTTCAATAATAAAAAAATTTGCAACCTCGTGACTAAAGCAATTGGGTTATAAAACACAAGAACGCATCGTACAGAAAGAAACGGGGAGAGAAAAGGAAAAATAGGGAATATTCTCAGCTGGGCATGCAGGAAAGCAGGGCTGAGACTTGCTGAAGATACGATTCTCTTATCTCCTTAGACGGCACGATTAAGTTCATGCACAATACAACAACAGTACCTATTTAAATAGAACAAATGTGAGGTCCATTCTGATATAAATTCAACTGCCTGGCTTACAAAACTATACAGTTGCTTCATGGGCTACATCCAGGCCGATTTAGTGTCGAGCTTTCCAGCTGAATGCATGAAACTTGCTTTAGTGAGCAAACTCTTCTATTATGGGACTGGGGTGATCTGGGTTGAGCTAGGAGCTTATGGCCGCATACAGAGGAAGTTCCATAGTCGGTAAACTGAGTATTAAACATGAATAGGGAGGAAGTTTGTTGCAACCTAACAATACACCAAGTACGAGGGGAATAAAAACGAGATTTCTAGGGGCAGCTTTATCCTTAAAGGTGATGGATATTCATTCCCTCTTGGCCTTATGTCCACAATTATCATTGCCACATTGGTCTATTATATACACAAGATTCTTTGTGGCGTAGAATGGAACACATGCCTTTCAGTTGGGTAAATGCGTGTAGTGTAAACGTTTATATTATATGCAAATTTTTAATGTTTAAATATCTGGGCTGACTATATCCCTCTGTGATCAGAAGGGTGGGATTTAACCTGTGCAACACTGTCAGCAGCATACGGGGGAAATTTCTACTCCAGGCTACTGAGAAGGGAAAGACCGGGATACTTGGTGGTCTGCAGCAGTCTCCCAGGCTTCCGGAGACCCCCGAAACGGATAAAGGTCTCTCAGACATATAAATAGAGAAGGCCACGCTAAGTTACACGCATCCAATTAACCGAAAAGTACTTCTGAAATACAGTGCGTTCAGTCAAGGAGGAAACTTCGCAACACCGCTGACCGGGCCCAACATTCCACACAGATTGCTGCAGTAACTGCTGATAGCAGAAGGAGTCATTAGCGCTGATAAATGAATCATTCCGTTATTGGCAGTTACAGCCGCAATCTGTGTGGAATGCTGGGCTCAGTCAGCGGTGCTGCGAAGTTTCCTTCTTGATCGAGCACCCTGTATAATTAAGGTTCAGATGCAATTATATTTCTAATTTACGTCACTCTTTTATAGGTACATTCGTATTCATATCAAGGGAGCTTCAGACTAAAATAGTCGGGTCTGGAGGTCCGGCGGAAAGCCTGAGGTTCGAGACCTAGGTGGATTCAGTGAGTGAGACGATGCCAAAGCTTAATTGTAACCAAATATAAACTATAAGTGTAGGGATACAGTCTAGGCTGTGATTCATCATTGCGGTATTTAACGACATTTTCTCAACCGAACAGGTTATACAGCGTCAAATGGCAGGATGACTGTGAATGATGAATTGGAAAAGATGTGATGGGAAGCGGTGGTGGTCTATTTCAAGATAATATCCTAGTCTTTGCCTATAGTGACTAAGGAAAATAATGAAAACAAAAGAACACGTGTTATTCACTCCATCGCGACATAACGTCTGCAGACTGCTTTTACCGGTTCTCACGGTCTCTTCGCTTGCGGATTTCTTATATTTTTCCTTCTACCCTGAAGATGGAGGCGATACTTTCCTCCGAAACTTCGGTTAACACCACATATACACGGTGCCAAATCCCAGAAGACTGCTTTCTTCAACCGATAATTTGTTCGAGATTCTTAGAAGCTGGAAGTTCCCGAACATAAAAAAGCAAGTCCTTCAGAAAACTGCGAAAAACTCAAGATAGCCTCTTTTCTGACAGAACCAGATACCTCTCGAGCACAAGGCGGACGCAGCGTCACTTCGCGTAACCTGATTACACTAAAATGTCAACACGTCGATGAGTCTGTATGCTTCAATATATACTCTCATTCATGGTACACAGTGAAACCATTAAATAAACACGTTTACCACGCAAGGGTTGGGTGTTTGAAGTGACAACTGCAATCAACATGGAAACGGGTAAAAGGTGTCCTTTCTAAAAAAAATAATCTGTAAATTAGACCAGAAATTAGAGGCCTGTGGTAACAACAAATACCTATAGCGTACTCCAGAGCCAGTGTCCGCTTTGTGTATGTAATATGTAGCCAAACGTATCAATTAACACTGATTATGGTCCCATTAGCTGTAGCTTAAACTAACCAAAGCTTGCTGAAATGGTCACTAAATTGAGTTTCAACCGACCCAAACTATTTCTAAATTGATCCCACTGACAATTATGCAGCGGGCGATTTCATCTCAGTCCAACTCGTTCTAATAGAAAGCGGGTTCAGTACAGAGAACACTGCAAACAAATTTAGAGATAAATTGGCAAGCTAAACAACAGTTTATAAATAATGAACTATTAAGTTACCCCAATTTGTATAATATAATGAACACCCAAGTTCTGAAAGGTTAACTGAAAAAAAAAAATATTTTTTAGACGACATTATGAGAAAATGTACAGAATAGTTTCTGTATTTATATAGTAAATAACCGCAGACGTACCGAATACATCTGGAAATCTTTCAGTGATCTTTCGGTAGTAGCTTAAAGAAATGCAACTAATCCGACCGAAGGTGTTAGAACGTAGTAAGCAACGAATTTTTCGAAACTTACTTGTAGGGAAAAACTGCGCATTGGTATTTATGCGAGAAATATAATAATAATAATAATAATAATGTCGCGTGTTTCCTAGGCAACGTGACAAGAAATTTCAGCGGGGATCGGATTAGGCGAATGCGTTTATTGGATCCCCACGGCCGTTAATCTCGGTTTTCTAAACCGGATAATTACTTACTTACTTACTTCCTTACTTACTCAGGGAACTGAGCCCTTCTTGAGGAGCCGCCAATTCTGCAGCTACTCAAGGATTTCCAGCATTTTATGGAACCCGAAGGTTCATTACCGTGTTCACAAGATCCCTCCACTGGTCCCTATCCTCAGCCAGATCAATCCAATCCATACCATCCCATCCTATCTCTCTCAGATCCATTTTAATATTGTCCACCCACCTACGCCTTGGTCTTCCCAGAGATCTCTTCCCTTCTGGCTTTCCACCACTATCCTATATGCTTTCCTCTTCTCCCCATTCTGCTACATGCCCTGCCCACCTCATCCTCCTTGAAGTGATCATTCTAATTATACTTGGAGAAGAGTACAAGTTATGAAGCTCCTCATTGTGCAGTTTTCTCCAACCTCCTGTCACTTCATCTCATTTCGGATAACAACAGTAATAATAAGCAAAATATAAATATGTTATCATGAAAGCAAATTGGGGAACCTCCCTCACCAAGGGCACACAATGCACTGCTTTCAGTATCGCTTTACAGAAAAGCAGAGAGTACAATACCCACAGGCCCCTGTGAATGAACAGAAGCGCAAAGTATGACTGCGTACAGGTAAGTAAAAGCCTAGGACGTAATTACAGGCTTTTCTAAACATCAGATGAGCTGCAGTAGGCCTTGTCCGATACAACACAAGAAATCCTACCTTGAGTCTGATTATGGATAAAGGCGGGCCGCTGGAGCTCACAGAGTCACTTTCCCAGAGCAGCTTTTGTAGGAAGAGATCGAGCCCGGAGCGACTAACTGCGCGAGGCACATCCACAGTCACAGTCACCACAGCCTGCACAGTCACAGTCACGAATTAACATGGCACACCCCAGCACGAAATTTCATAAAATGATAATTGTAAAGTAAAGTAAAGTAAAGTAAAGCTATCCCTGTAACAGGCCGTGGAGGCCCATAGGGGTGTGAGATGTTGAGGTTCCCACATTTTCTCTAGATAATCGATTCACAGATGGCGGTGAGGTTGTCAGCCTTAAGCGCCGGCCGCGCTTTACCCCCAGTAATATTCCTGGTACTCGTTTCTGTTACAGGCTGAGTCGACCCCAGTGCCATAGTGCGGCTCCAACGATTAGGTACATTGAAAAAATCCACCTCGTCGGGATTCGATCCCATTACCTTCCGGCTTTTAGCATAGTGCCTCAACCAACTACGAAACCGGGAATGCAGCGAGAGGGCCAGTTCTATGTCTGCTACACAAACACACAAGTGAAGACCATACGAACTTCTAGCCCGTAAAATATTGGTGGGAAAGCCAGAAGGAAAGAGACCACAGGGAAGACCAAGGCGTAGGTGGGTGGACAATATTAGAATGGATCTTAGAGAGATAGGATGGGATGGTATGGATTGGATAGATCTGGCTCAGGATAGGGACCAGTGGAGGGCTCTTGTGAACACGGTTATGAACCTTCGGATTCCATAAAATGCTGGGAAATTCTTGAGTAGCTGCAGAATTGGCGGCTCCTCAAGAAGAGCTCAGCTCCATGAGTAAGTAAGTAAGTAAGACCATATAATTTCTGAGGTGGGCGAGACACTGCGCTATTTAACAGGCCTATGTATAACGTTCTGAGGGGGCACACGGCAGCGTAGTTGGTTGAGGCACTATGATACAAGTCGGAAGATCGTGGAATCTAATCCCGATGAGGTGGATTTTTTTTTCAATTTACCTAATCCTTCCAGCCGCAATATGACCTTGGGGTCGACTCAGCCTCTAACAGAAATGAGTACCAGGAATCTTCCTGGAGGTAAAGGGTGGCTGGTGTGTAAGACTGACAACCTTACTGCCATCTGTGAGGCGACTGTCTAGAAAATGTAGGAGCCTCAACATCTCACAACCGTATGGGCCTCCATGGCCTGTTACAGGGATACCCATACTTACTTTTTATTTTATGTACCATCGTTTCGAAACCTTCTGAAGTTATGGACCTTCGAAAGACACGCAGCTGTGTCTGCAGCGTGTACGACGACAATATGGCGCCACTTGGAAAGTGAACGTTACGGATCAGAAATGCTTTGCAGTATACGCTACAATTACATACCGGTAGTTTAGAACAGAGCAGAGTTGGATTTGTGCATGAGCAACAGAATTACATAATGCGTCTAAGAAAGCAACCGCATTCTCAGAGGGTTTTAATACCGTTGATTAGTTTCAAACGCAGACGGTTATCATCAGGGCGGCCGCACACCAACTGCATCAAGACAAGCATGAAGACATGAGACAGAAGACGCAGTCTTGCTTCATTCGTGATTCGTCAGCATGATGCTGACGTCAGGATCATGACTCAGACCGGTGTGCGGCGGTTTTCATAATCTCATTCCTTTCAACTGTGCTTTTTTTGCGTCATGTCGCAGACATTGTGTTTTGACTGTTACATATCTTGACGCATCCCGGTGTACGGCATACCTTAGAAATACAGGCCCTCGGATTTCTGTTTGAGCTGCTGGAGTCGTGAAATTAGGAGGACGTCAGTTGCCCACTGAGACACGACGGTCACTAGACGATACAGAGATGTGCCATGACGTTAGACCGATAGCTGCTCTACACCGTCGCTTTCACACTCTCAAGTAAGTGGTAACACCCCCGAACAGCCACCACACGTTTTAGCATGAGGGTTACTTCCTTACTTACTCATGGAGCTGAGCCCTTCTTGAGGACCCGCCAATTCTGCAGCTACTCAAGAATTTCCCAGCATTTTATGGAACCCAAAGTTTCATTACCGTGTTCACAAGAGCCCTCCACTGGTCCCTATCCTGAGTCAGATCAATCCAATCAACACCATCCAATCTTATCTCCCGAAGACCGATTTTAATATTGTCTACCCACCTACACCGTTGTCTTCCCCGTGGTCTCTTTCTTGCTGGTTTTCCCACCAACATCCTATATGCATTCCTCTTCTTCCCCATTCGTGCTACATGCCTTGCCCACCACATCCTCCTTGACTTGATCATTCTAATTTAGCTGGAGAAGACTACAAGTTATGGAACTGCTCATTATGCAGTTTTCAGCATGAGGTTATTACCTTTATATGCCGTACATCTGTAAACAAAGTAACGATAGAGGGAAATGTTATGTACTAGAACTATCGATTTCTCCCTACCAAACCCCGAGGGAGGGGCAGACGAAAAAGCAGAGGGCGAATCCTAACCTTTTCCCACCCATTCTGTGGTGCAGAAGAGAAGACAGGGCATGTTACCGATTAGACGTGTTTCCTATGCAGTCTACCTGTGGCCGTGTGCGAAAGGGATGGGTGTTATCTGCCCTTAGGAGTGGAACAGAGTGGCCTAGGCGGCCCTTGAGGTCAGAAATCCAACCCCCTTCAGAGCGTATGGTCACAGCAGCAGCAAGAGGAGGGAATTTCCGTAATGGAGTCACAACAAATGGGCAGGAGTGAAAATGTTGTACAATGACTTTCAGGGGAGATGTGACTGCTTAACACCTTCTATATTTATTTATAGTTTGAAACCTTTAATTAGCCCGTTCGTCCACTCAGATATATGGAATTTGGGGAGGAGCCAGACAGACAGTAAGCATGCAAACTTATCAGCTTACAGTTTACGCATTATATACCGGGTGTCGGGATCGACTCGTTAGCACCACCGCTTCCTATTCGGGAAGTCTTGAGGATTTTCGTGGATTTCCTCCGACCCTCCCGAATTTATTACTCAAGAACCACCCTACCATTTGAAGCTACATACTCGTAGTCTGAGCTACTGGAATGATATTAAATGAAACACAAACAAATTTAAAAAACTCCGTGGCCTGTAGTCCGCATGCGAACTATACCGACCGAGCGACCGCCGCTTGTCGCGAAGTTAGTGACAACTTCAGCGGATAGAGGGTGTTGCGTGGTCAGAGCAACGGATTCCCAAGGCCGTTAATTTCGGTTTTCTAGACCGAATTTCTATTTTCTTGAAATAGCTCCTCAATTATCCTCAGGAGGCTGAGTGGACCCTGTTCCAGACCCACTACTTCTCAGAAAATCGGCCAGCGCCGGGAATCGAAACCGGGACCTCTTGATCTGTAGCCAGGAACTCTGACTTATAAAATCACTAACATGATCACGGAAGAAAGCTGATATTCTGTATGGCAAATTTAAGGCAATGAAATCATATATCAGTGGACATTGTGAAAAGAAGTGCATTACCAAACTGTACAACTTGTTTATAAATTATGCTAATATCTGGAGCTCTGTACAGATGGTAAAGGTAAGGAGAAGTTGTCCCTGTGCTTAACTAATTAAGCACTACGCCATGAAGACGTATGGGGGAGTGGATGTATAGATCCACACTTTTCTTGACCTCGGCACTAGTTGGAGGTGGGTGGTCAGCTTCACGCCCCTGCCGCTTTACCCCCAAGCAAAGAATTGGGTGGACCCCAGAGCCGGTCTGGACATGGAGAAGAGAAAATTCTTGACCCTACCGGGACTCGAACCCTGACTCCTCGGTCGTAGTGTCCGTAGCCAGTCTTTATACCAACTGAGCTATCCCGCGTCCCTATGCAGATGGTAGAATTTAAAAAGTAAAAGTAATAATTTTTTCAGGTCCTTCTTAAAGTAAGCTTCGGGTAAAATAAGATACAACATGGCGAAGATGCGAATTTTTTATGTGATCCCAGATTTTACTCAGGCCTATAACTCATTTCGTTCTTGATAGAGATATGGAGAGAGAGAGAGAGAGAGAGAGAGAGAGAGAGAGAGAGAGAGAGAGAGTAAGTAGTTGACCAGAAATGCACACATTGATTTTCAAAGACCAAAAACCAACAAACTTGTACATACTGCCATGTGTATCAGTGTGATTATACGTATATGGGGTTTGGACTGGTAATTGGATTTACTGAACACTTGCAGAACGTAACTACAAGTAAATATAGCGTCAGTGCTAATTCACACTCTGCAATTCACTAGAGCACACACTTCAGTCTTTTCGGCCTGCTGTGTCTTCACCAGTCGTTGTCTGCTAACGGCTTCCAACGGAGGACACTCCCCTTCCTGTTGCGTGCGCGTCTGTTGCGGCCATTAATTACAGAGACACTACCTAGCAACGGTTGTTCTATGGCTGTTTATTTCGCGGACGTTGCCTAGCAACCGGTCTACATGTCACAATAAATACAAGTGTAAACATACCTTATCTAAGTGCTGGAGATTTCTGTGAGCTTCAACGTCTTCTATAAGTTTTTCCAACCTAAAATAAAGCAAAAATCTAAAAATACAGACTGTTACATTTTCCATGCTATGTATGTTGCTTCAGTTAGAAATATTATTTTGTTCGGTTTATTTATAGTTTTATAAACTCAGTGAAAGATAAGAGTATACATCTCCTTTAATTTCTTTTTTTACCAGGTAAGGCCACATTGCTTTTTTTCTAAAAACACACTTGTCGGTAATGTCATGCTCAGTTATGTGCATTAGTTCGAAACATACAATGCACCGGTTCATGTGCGATTTTCGAGAATTTTGCCGGTACACATTCACTGTTTGCCGGCACGGGTACGGGTGCGTAGCAACTTCCCGTCTGCTGTCAAAATTCGTAAAAATTAGAATATTAAAAAAAAACTATAATTTTGCGTGAAGTGTGAAACTTGGTCCCTGACATTAACGGAAGAGCGGAAACTGAGGGTGTTTGAGAACAGGGTGCTGAGGATAATATTTGGACCGAAGAGAGATGAAGTGACAGGAGGTTGGAGAAAACTGCATTATGAGGAGCTTCACAACTTGTACTCTTCTCCAAGTGTAATTAGAATGATCAAGTCAAGGAGGATGAGGTGGGCAGGACATATAGCACGAATGGGAGAGAAGAAGGATAGCTTATAGGTTTTTGGCGGAAAAGCCAGATGGAAAAAGACCACTAGAAGAACCTAGATGTAGGCGGGAGAGTAATATTAAAATGGGTCTCAGAGAAAGGGGATGGGATGGGATGGTATGGACTCGACTGATCTGGTGTAGGATAGCGACCGGTTGGGGGGGCGTCTTGTAAACACGGCAATGAACCTTTGGATTCCATAAAATGGGAATTTTTTGAGCAGCTGAGAGGCTGGTGGTTTCTCAAGGACACAGCTACACGTAGTTAGTTCAAGTTGTGACGTACACGCAAATGTTTTTCAGTCAGACAGTAACGAAGCCCACTATTGGACACGATCAGGAACCAGTTCCATCCACCTCCCAGCCTCCTTAAGATCAATCTTGATGTCATTCTCCCACCTCCATCTCTGTCTCCCTATTGGTCGTCCCCCCACCACGATTCTGCATGCGTTTATGTCTCCCCGTCCGAACTACTCGCCCAGTCCACCGTGCCATCCTCGATTTCACTGCCCTAACAAACGCAGACGACTTCTACATATCGCGATGTCCAATTAACTGATTTACCCAGAACAAATGACCGCCTCCGTGGTCTAGTGGTCAGATTTCCTGGCTAGAGATCCAGAGGTCCTGGGTTAGATTCCCGGCGCTACCATATTTTATGAGAAGTAGTGGGTCTCGAACGGGGTTAACTCAGCCTCGTTAAGGTAACTGAGGAGCTATCATGGAAATAGCGGCTCCGGTCTAAAAAAACTAAATTAACGGCCGTGGGGATTTGTTGTGCTGACCACATGACACCCTCTATCAGCTAAAGTTGGAACTAACTTCGCCGACAAGCGGCGGGCGCTCGGTCGGTATAGTTCGCTTACGGAATAAAACCACGGAGTTTTTGTTTGTTTAATTCTAGTTATTCGTGTAAACACATTTCTCTGCTTAATCCCGTAAGTTCAGGGTTTTATCCGAAAGTTACCAGAAGTAAACCAAAAATTCTTCTTAGTCGCCATGCTTGTAATTCTTAGAACACAAAGCGATTAACATATTTGCAGATGAGTGTACGATCCACCACTGTAAAAAAAAAGTCACAGTTATAGCTCAAATGGTTCAGTAATTATTATCGTAAGACTCCTCAGCTATGTTGTGGGTTCCATAAAATTTGACCTTAACATGAGGTGAATATTTAAAATATTCCTTTTCCCTTAAAATTCAAGGACTCTTCATCAAACCACGTCACAATGGCATCCATCTCAGACGTTTACGAGGGCGCAAGGTAATACGCAGGTAACGTAACCCCCAGTGGCATGACATCCATGGTGAGTTTGATTAAAATCCGTCAAGCGGTTCAGAAACTCTTAAACCAAACGCATGCACATACAGAGATGACGTGACCGCAAACATGAATCCTCATACAATGACAGTCGGATTGAAACACCATAAAATTAAACAGGGGCAGACAATGAAGTTCCCGTAATATGGACGCGCTGACTTGATCAATTAGAAGGACTCACGAAGGATCTATAAATTATCTGCAATGGTGTACAGCCTGGAGTTTGACAAATAAGTATCAGAACTTGAATCAATGCATAAAGCTTTATACAAAGGACGACCCTTCCAACAGACAACTTGAATTTATTCATGAGGTATCCAGAACGATTTAAAGGGGTTTGATCAGCCTCTGTCCACAAAGCACAGCCACACACTGATCAAGAGGCCGTGAAAACCTTCAGCCCACCATGTGTTGAGGTTGAGGTAACAGTCCCACCATCTGTCCCAATGCAGCATTGTCACAACGAAGTGCTACCAACTGAACGCATCACACACTTTACAGATCTCAAACTATATATTCCTTAGGCAAACATTTGCAACGGCAGCGTTCACAAACCAAACATTTACCGTGGACGCATTCATAAACAATAACAAGACGGGCGCTTTCATCAAAACAAATTATCTTCACAGCATTAAGAAAAACGCAGCGGTCGAATCTTTGAATGAGAAATTCATAAACAAAACACTATTGAGGATGCATAAAGACATTAGTAGAGCCCGAATTAAATTTTAACTAAAAGATTCGTATAAGGGAATTCCAAAACATGACGTCACGGAAGTAAGAACAAAAGACAATAATGGACAAAAAAATATTCACAGCTAATGTTTTTTTTTCTTGTCTAGTGCTTAGCCTGTTAGAAAGCGTGTGAAACGTTTTGTGGCGTATAGATCCGGTGTTAGGCAGACCTCGAAACAAACGTTGCTTGGTAACGGCCGGTAAACACGTCAACAATATCCGGGCTATCACTAGGCAACCGCCCATAACAACATTAGAAGAACTGTTGAAAGCGGTGTATTCTGTTGGGTCCGTTCTGGGACTATATAACGAGGACCCCAGGAGTTCGGGACTCGGACTTGGATTCTGCACGCGAGTCGTAGGAGGCGACGAAAAGGGAAGTCTGAGACAGTAAAATACGGTCGCGAGTCCCAAGGGACTCGGACCCGAGAAAGGCTGCGCTGGCAAGGGCCAGTAGCATGTAAAAAGAAGACAGAATCGTTCTCTCGTCAGAGTGGACGCCCCACAAAAAACAAAACCGTAATGTTCAACAGAAATAAATATCTGGTCATAAGCCCGAGACGGAGCTCGACACCAAGACTGACTGACTGACTGAACGTCAGTCGCAATGTGACTTGGACTTGGATTTACAGAGTTCAGCTGCGGGATATTCGCTCGACAGGAAGGGCCTGAGCGCAGGAAACTGAAGAATCTCCACTGCTAGAAGCCGTTACTAGGGAACGGCTGTTGAGGACACTGCAGACTGTTTGTAACAGCGATCTGTAAAGTGGCGCTGTAATTACTTGTGGTTCCGAGTTGTGTCAATAAATCCAATATCCAATCCATACCCCGTCTATAGTCACACCCCAAAAAACATGACATTATTTAGTTGTATTAACTCTCAATTACTGACTGTCCAAACTAGAATTATTTGCTATGACTCGGAGTTACAAGTACGAGCAATATTCCGTAAAACTAACTCTCAGTAAGGGTTTGCAGTCTCTTCTCGAGCACGTCTCTAGAATCCTGCTCCCAAACCCCCGTATAAGCTCGTAACACTGCTTATAAAACTGCACATTTACAACTGTCAGCAGCGTCATATAATTCTATTACATATTGCAGCGAAGTATGTCAGGCAATTACGAGCAACAGATCTAAACTCTCAATTTATGTCAACTAATTGTCACAGCTGAGACTTCCAGCTGACTCAGTTAAATAATGGAGTACTGCTCCTCTGGAAAGCTGAAGAAAACTTCGAATACAGCTGATATACAAGTATGTGAATATATATTATGACATGGCGCCTGAAATCCGGAATAGTGGAGCCAGAGTAAACGTTGTTAGACAACGACTCGGTAAACACATTCCAACGGCAATAAATACGCAAGCAACGATTGAGAACTATCGTTCTTATTCAACGAAGTAAACACACTTCTGTAACAATACAGTAATTGTTAGGAAACGGTGTTTTGTGTTGGGGTCGACTCGAGGCTATATAAAGAAGTTACAGGCCAGCTATGATCAAAATTGACACTCTCGGGAGATGGCAGTCGAATGATTGAGAAAAAATGTCAAAAAAAGGAATTGGGCCGTGAAAAGACTATGTTCCCAACATTTCCTCTATCGTTTCAAAGGCGTGTTTACCTCGCCGTTGCATAGAAACGGCAATTCTTCTATTGTTGCGTTCACGTTCATTTCCGCGGGAATCTGTTTACAGAGTCGCTGCCTACTTGGCTTCGCTGTTCCGGCTTTCAGGCGTCATGTCACAATACTTCCAATCCCCCAGACGTAATTACGGCGTGATGAATAATTAAGCACAAAGGAAACTGGCTGAAGGTGCCGTGTTCCATGAACTTGCGTTACATGCATTGGAAACTTGAGTTTTAAACAATCTACATACCAAATATTTTTGGGGCGTGTTGCGCTCTGAAATTTTAGCCGATCGCTGTTCAGACGCGAGCTGATCACCATATAAAATCCTGTCATTCATACACAAATCAAATTTCCTTCCTGCAAGCTCGGCATTAAGCAGACGTCAGGATGACAAATCAAGTGGGATATATTCAGTTTCACCAACTCAGAGGAGGAATCTGAATGAAAAATGAAAGATGAGACAGTTCTTATTAGGTTATTCGAAATGATATCTGTAGAGATAAGCGCAAAAGACATAAACTCTGCCAAAGCTGAACAACTGAGCACGAACAAAATGGCAAAAAGAAAGAAAACGACGTTTAGGCAGTCTGACGCCAGCAAAGACGAGACTTGCCTTGCAGTGGGCGTCGGGAACACGGATCGTGTTTCGCGCTATTACGACGCGGTCTCACTGATCCACTGTACAGCCCATATAATAATGTCCCTTTGATTACAACAACCCTAACCAATCACTGATGGACGCTGAGGTTTATTAGTGCCGCTTAGATACAAAACATCATCATACGACTCAGATGTTACGATGATTGAATTAGCTATTCTAGAGGTTTGTGACGGCTATCAGCCATATACAGGATGTTAAGTATTACAGTCCCTTCTGAGGCGGTTATAATTAATGGTTAAAACCCAGTGATTAACCAGTGAATGGCCTCCATGAAAGTTCGACAGCGTGTTCATGGTCACATTTCAGAGGACCATACTGTCTCTGATTTCAGGACAGAAGAGTAAATTGGCAACTCCGTGGCCTGTAGTCCGTAAGAGAACTATACCGACCGAGCGACCGCCGTTTGTCGGCGAAGTTAGTGTCAACTTTAGCGGATAGAGGGTGTCGCGTTATCAGCCCAAAGAATCCCCACGGCCGTTAATTTCGGTTTTATAGACCGGAGCTGCTATTTCCTTGAAATAGGTCCTCAATTATCCTCACGAGGCTGAGTGGACCCCGTTCCAGACCCAACGCTTCTCAGAAAATCTGATATCACCGGGAATCGAACCCGGGACCTCTGGATCTAGAGCACAGAGGCGGTCAGTAAATTGGTAAACATCTCCAATTTTGAAAGACTGATTTAAACATTACCCTTCCACATAACCCACTGTCTCCACGTGTTTCTGAAGCGGCCCGACGGATTCTCACCTTCCCCACGCGCGTCACACGACCCATCCACACCATAATATTGATTTAATCACTACAACAACAATAAACAAACATCGTTTACTAGGAGCGAACCACTAATGAAACGCTTTTAGTTCTCAAAAACAGCTATTAATTATAGGCCTATACTGATTTGTGCCGGTCACGGTAGCCCAGCGGTCTAAGGCATGCACTGTCGGGATCGTGGGTTCGAATCCCAAACAAGGCACGGATCTTTGGTGTGTGTATGCGTTTATTCTGTGTTTGTGTTGTCCTGTGTTTAGGTAGAGGCCTTGCGACGGGCTGATCACCCGTCCAAGGAGTCCTACCGTCTGTAAAAATGACAATGAAACTGAGAAATCAGCACTGTGCTCCACAGTGGGAGCGAGAAGACAAAAGATATATATATATATCCATTCATCACACATGTAATTAGAAATTCGACTAATCAGAGTGTTAATGGTGCACGATGGATTGAGCTGGCTCAGAACGTGGGCTCATGTGAGTATGGTACAGAACCAACGGACTAAATGAAGACTGGGAACTTAAAAACGTTCTGTGTTTAACGTCACCTTATTTTCGCGAGTACCTAACATCTCGAGGCAGCCTTGGGATGTATAAGTCACAACGATATAGAGGGAGGTGGTGTGTGATAGGGGATTAGGCTATAAACAGAGTTGAATGATGGGTAGTGATGAGAGAAAATACATCCATGGAGAGGGCAAGAATCCACGGATCGCATCCCTCGCCTCGTTACCCCTATTGTCCGATAAGTAGGAGGGTTGCTCGGAACATTTACGGAAGAGAAGGGGAGTATATTTGGGGGCTAATATAATAGGACACTCAACTTGTGTTATTAACACGCTGCCTACACCCGCAGGGGCGGAACAAAAGAACAGTAGCTTACAGTAAAGACACTCGGATAATTTGTTAACTGGAGCGATCATGACGTCCAGCGGAGGGGAACACAGGGCGTCTTTTTATCCCAGGAGAGCGCCTGTAAGCACAAGTAAATCAACGAAGACCAAATAACCATAACAGGACACTTGAGCCCGGGAAGGTGTCACTGAAGAAAGGCCTAAATCAGTAACCAGTCAACCGATTTCAGGGGCACCGCACATAACATTATGTATAGGAAACTTGGGAGCAATTCAAGACGCGTATTGTTTCCTTCACCGCGGAAAGTGAAACGGTCAGGGGGTCTGGCGTTAGGCAAGACTTTCGTTCAACCATCGGCTGTCAGGAACCCATACAACAAAAACAAACTCCTTTGCCTGTAGTCGGCAAGAGAACTATGCCGAGCGACCGCCGCTTGTCGGAGAATCCTCTGTGGTCTAGTGGTCAGAGTTCCTTGCTACAGATCCAGAGGTCCGGGTTCGATTCACGGCGCTACCACATATTCTGAGAAGCAGTGGGCCTGGAACGGGGTCCACTCAGCCTCGTGAGGATAAATGAGGGGCTATTTCAAGGAAATGTCGGATCCGGTCTTGAAAACCGAGATTAACGGCCGTGGGGAACCGTTGCGCTGACCATGTGATACCCTCTATCCGCAAAAGTTTGCAGGAATCCATATTGTTTACAGATATCTCTGCCGGTAAAGTGGCTCGTTAAGCGCTGACAAAACAGGTTTCAGTTTCCGGGGGGGGGGGCAGAAATTGTTCTCTCTGCCTTCGTCTCGAGAGTGCCTATGAGGACACCCAGGCTCTTACTCAATTTATACTGGAAACCTTTTCCCTGGGTATAAAGCGGAAGGAGCATAAAGCTAATCACTCACGCTATTACTACTTATGGTTTATATAACGACGCTGTCAGTAGGTCAGCTCATACACCGTCGAGTGGGGACGTGGAAGGACAGATTTCAGGGACTGTTCCTTGAGTACTGATGTCCGAGTCTTGACGCACGTGTCTGCAGCATGAAGCTGACGTCTGCGTCATGACTCAGACCGGTGTGCGGCGGTTTTCATAATCTCATTCGTTTCAACTGTGTTCCTTTCTTTGCGTCATGTCGCAGACATCGTGTCTTGACTGTTACATGTCTTGACGCATGCAGGCGTGCTGCCTACCTTACACCTGTGTGAACCTGTTCGGTACCGTCATCTAGTAGCGAGGTTACAAATGAATGGAATTTTACCTTTACTTCCCCATACATCTTCAGAGGGCGGTGCTTAAAGATCATCAGAGGCAATATTCATTTTATTACTGTTTACAGATTAAGCATGAGATGTGAGAACTGAACAACCGAACTGATGATTTTATGCAACAATCGTCGCATTTTGGATCATGTGACTATATATGAGACGGCTGTTGGGATTCAGTTTCGTTATGACAGCTGCTTTGTTCGTCAGAGAGAGAATATTCGTTTTGCATGCATTTCACAAAGATTTTCCGAAGACATTCATTAGAAAAAAAAAACTGTGACTAGCGAATTAACTTGAGTACCACGAAAAACAGAATAAAAACGAGGAAGTCTCCAAGCGGAAGCTGCAGAGCCCTCGAGACTGAAGAGAGCGCAATTACCAAAATGAAACGTATATATTTGTGATCATGTGATAACATGCTACGGAAGCAATTATCCAATACGAATTTTTCTATCCCAATAGGGAACCGAGCCGTCTACTTTCATTTCATACCAACACATTCGCCGAGGAGGACCAGAGTTTAGTGGCTTTGTAGCATTTTCCTAAACAACAGTTCCAAGGAATAGAAACAGCACTGCAACATCCACTACTCTAGCCAGACTTGTTCCGAAACTAAACATGTCACTGAAAGGGCATAATTGTGAATCACCTGAAGGCCTTCTCAGCAATATAACAATAATAAAAGTATTTTCAGAAAATAAATTCCAGCAATGTTTCCATGTATGATAGAGGGGTGAATTGTGCATAAAAGCCTATTTGTAATGTTTCTGGTGATATAACAGTGTACCCACGGGGCGACTATTAACACATATCTGTCCATACGTCTGTACGCATCAAATTCAGGAAATGCTAGATGGATTTTCATGAAACTTGACATGCTGGAATTCTCTTAAAATCTAGCGACATATTCCAACTAACGTGAAAATTTGACAAAGACAGCAGCCTCTTTACGTGAAGACCTACATGCGTTTCTGCGCCCATCTAAAGCGTGACAAGCAAAATATTTACCATAACGAAAAATATTCTGAACAAACCATAAATGAACCATATGCCTTAGTCCCAGTAAACTTTTCCGTAAGTTCCAATGTTATCAAGATAATTAAAACATCGGGATCGAAGCTTCTGAAATGTTACAATGTGTGTACATTTTCGAACTGGTTACAAGCTAAGAACTACAAACATGGCGATGATGCGCAAATCTGGAAAACTCTATGAATGTTCAGTCGATATCGGTAGTAGTGGAAAATGCGCATAGAAAATGATCACTAAATTGTACAACTTTTAATCAAAAGTTCTCATTAGCCTCACTACTGATCGAAAGACCCGAAGAAAAGAAAAGTATGTGGTAGCGCTTATTCCAAGAACATATTGTCGGTATACACGGCTCCAAACCTCCAGACGTAAATCCTGTACCACTTACCTATGAAGCTGTGCAGACCCTGTGTACGCTCGCTGGTCCAGTATCCGATGCAGGTCCACCCTGTAAAACGGGCAGTATAATATTAATGTGTTCGCTGTCAGTCGCCTTGAAAGGTAAAGTTACCAGAAAATTCTCAGCTCCTACGAACAAGATTCATCGCCATTATAACAGACTCGACTCTGGGTCATACTCAGAGACGGTAGAATTAAGCGAAGTCCATCCTAACCTATTTCTCAGGAACATGTTTCAATATTATCCACGCAACTACGGCTTACTTTCTCAAGTGTTTTCTTTTCGTTTCCGTTTAACCCTGGATGAGAATATGGTAAAAAAGGTAAAGCTACCCCTGTAACAGGCTGTGTCGTCTCAGAGGGTTGTGAGACGTCGAGGTTCCCATATTTTCCAGACAATCGGCCCACAGATGGCAGTGAGGTTGTCAGCCGTATGCGCCGGCTACCCTTTCCCCCAGGAAGAATGCTAATATTCATTTTATTATAGGCTGTGTCGACTCCAGGGCCATAGTACGTCTGGAATAATCAGGTCAATTGAAGAATCCAATGATGTCATCAGGAATCCAAACCGCGGGTTCCAACTTGTGGATGAGAATACGTACATTTACTCCACGCAACTGTCTTCATTATAAGCCTACGGGCCTCCACGGCTTTACTTTTACCTCTTAATATAAAGTCTGCTGAGGTTATAAAACCGACTAAGGCCTACTGACATATATTTTCACACAAAACGGACTTTGAGCAAACCGAAAATATGTATTGCGATTCTAGCGTAATCCTGCAGCACACCTCGTGGTCAGATAAGGAACAAACAGCTCTACAATGCCATTCGCTTCTGAGGACACGGCAGTAACTGTTTCCTTTGTAGTGCTGGCTTTTCCTTCCGATGGTGGCCAATAAAGGCCGAAACATGTAAAGGCTTTATTTTATACGAAATTCTTGCATGTAGTGGACCTCCCCGCTCATTCATCTGTCAGAAAGTGTGAGCCATACCGAAGATCTCACAGAACCCGAGGATCTTCAGCAAAGTATGAGGTACAGACATAGATGTTTCAAAGAGACAATAGTAATGACCATGAATAATTGCCTAATACTGTACCGAGTCAGTTAGCAGAGCGGTAATGCGTTCTCCTAGCATCCAAGGGATGATCAGTTTGAAACCTGTGTACCAGGTACAGGGTGTTCAGTCAACGAGGAAACTTCGCAACACCGCTGACCCGGCCCAACATTCCTCACAGATTGTTACTGTAACTGTAACGCAGCGCGTTTATCAGCGCTAATGACTCGTTCTGCTATCAGCAGTTACAGTAGCAATCTGTGAGGAATGTTGGGCCCGGTCGGCGGTGTTGCCAAGTTTCCTCCTTAACTGAACGCACTGTACTTCACGATAAAATAGCCTGCCTGCACATAAGACAGCAGATGCGTTATGTTCTTGTTTGATGGCGACGTTTTTAACAGCATGAAATACCAACTGATACACTCACTAAATAACTGAAAGTACAACGCACGCAGCCACATAAGGAAGACACATAAAGAGACACAGTATATACACAATTAAAACATAAGAAGAACGACTCCCATAGTGGATGAATGGCGTTACACACGAGTTTGTTATACGACATGTAAGATGATAGATCTTAACAAGTTTTAATATATAAATTTTATTATTCAACAACGACGAACACACATTTTATAAATGGACACTTGATGGCAGGCAGTGCAATGGTTTAACGTGATTAATACACCTGAGGATAGCAGAATGATGCCGAAACATGTAGTGTGAAGTGACAAGTGAAATTGTATGCACTAAAAGACGGTAAACATATACACATTATGGAACTGAAAGTATATATATAACGTAATAATACACGCGTTTCGCTCTCACCTGCAACGCGTCGTTTCCATCAGTTCCGCAGCACCATTAATTCCCCTATAACAGAAGAGAAATAACATATAAAACAAAAACAAAACAAACCCCGTAGCCTGTATTGCCCTGTATACACTCGGCTAGTAATTACAAGTAATACAGCGCTACCGTTAATCTCCGCACTTTACAGTTCAATCTTACACATATTAGTCTTCTCAATTTGCTTTCACTAGTCGTTTCCTAGGAACGGATGTTAACTGCGGAGATTATACTAGTCTCATCGTAACCGCAGCGCACATTAAGACTTTTCTTCACAGCCAAGTGTTGAACCCATCTGAATTCCACTCAATAATTCTGATGTCTTGATTCCTCTGCTCCAAACTCACGCTCTGGCAGGCTTAAACGATCTTCTTTGTATTTTCTATAATAATCGGCACGGGCTTAATAGAAAACACTATTCCCAAAAAAATCCTCTACATTTGGTTGCGTATCCATTTCCGCGGAAACCTGTTTACCAAGCCGTCGCCTAGCAATGAACATCTCTTCCGGCTCCACTATGCAGGCCTTCAGGCGTAATGTCACACTATTATGGAGGTCATGCACGGGAATTCAACATTAAATTATATTAATTTTCAGCTCCTGCTCAACCTCATCACGCAGGCTAAAGCAAACTGAAGAGAAGTCTGCGTTGTCACTTCTCCATAGGTGTTCTTGTTAAAAGTTGTTCCAATATTTTAAACGTGACATGATTTAAAGGACCACTGAATTGACTGAAATTACTTTTAAATTTATGTAACGTAATGAATACACGCAATTTTATTTATATGTATGTCCTATTATTCCCTATCCCTGGCTCAGAATAGGGACCAGTGGATGGCTCTTGAGAACAAGGTAATGAACCTTCGGGTTCCATAAAATGTTTAGAAATTCTTGAGTAGCCGCACAATTGGCAGCTCCTCAAGGAGGGCTCAGCTCCACAAGTACAGTATTCCGTATTCCGTATTGCACTTAGACCGGTTAGTGGTCCATTGTGCGTCCCCCTTTAATTTCTACTGTCTCCATACCCTACCGGTACTGGTGCTTACTATCAGCCCCTTTCTGCCAGCAAGGTTCCAACCTCCTCTGGCAGTGGTATCTAATAGTT